ATTCAAAGTGACTTAGGTCTCTTACATGTTTTTTCCACAAATGTGCAGGTATTCAAAGTTACTTACGTCTCTTACATGTTTTTTCCACAAATGTGCAGGTATTCAAAGTGACTTAGGTCCCTTACATGTTTTTTCCACAAATGTGCAGGTATTCAAAGTGACTTACGTCTCTTACATGTTTTTTCCACAAATGTGCAGGTATTCAAAGTGACTTAGGTCTCTTACATGTTTTTTCCACAAATGTGCAAGTATTCAAAGTGACTTAGGTCTCTTACATGTTTTTTCCACAAATGTGCAGGTATTCAAAGTTACTTACGTCTCTTACATGTTTTTTCCACAAATGTGCAGGTATTCAAAGTGACTTAGGTCCCTTACATGTTTTTTCCACAAATGTGCAGGTATTCAAAGTGACTTACGTCTCTTACATGTTTTTTCCACAAATGTGCAGGTATTCAAAGTGACTTAGGTCTCTTACGTGTTTTTTCCACAAATGTGCAGGTATTCAAAGTGACTTAGGTCTCTTACATGTTTTTTCCACAAATGTGCAGGTATTCAAAGTGACTTACGTCTCTTACATGTTTTTTCCACAAATGTGCAGGTATTCAAAGTGACTTAGGTCTCTTACATGTTTTTTCCACAAATGTGCAGGTATTCAAAGTGACTTAGGTCTCTTACATGTTTTTTCCACAAATGTGCAGGTATTCAAAGTGACTTAGGTCTCTTACATGTTTTTTCCACAAATGTGCAGGTATTCAAAGTGACTTAGGTCTCTTACATGTTTTTTCCACAAATGTGCAGGTATTCAAAGTTACTTACGTCTCTTACATGTTTTTTCCACAAATATAAAGGGGAAAAATAACAACAACAAAAACAAAACAACAAAACCAACCAACCAAAACAAACAAACAAACGAACAAAAAATAAAAAGCCCAACTGATCTGTATAGTTTCTGCAATCCCCAGATGTGGGTCTGATCTTCGTGGTGTATCCCGAGGCGGTGGCGACCTTAGAAGGGACTTCGTTCTGGGCCGTCATCTTCTTCTTTATGCTGATCATGCTGGGGCTTGATACTACAGTGAGTGGTGTTGCTGTTGTTGCTGTTGTTGTTGTTGTTGTGGTGGTGGTTGTGGTGGTGGCGGTGGTTGTGGTGGTGGTGGTGATGGTAGTTCTGGGCCGTCATCTTCTTTATGCTGATGATGCTGGGGCTAGACACTACTGAAAGTCTTATTGTTATTGTTGTTGTTGTTGTTGTTGTAGTTGCTGTTGTTGTTGTTGTTGCTTTCGTTGTTTTTTTGAAGGTGGTGGTTGTAGTTATGGTAGTTGTTGTGGTTGCTCTGAGATGATGATGATGATGATGATGATGATGATGATGATGATGATGATGATGATGACGAGGACCAATACACAATGTAAAACTTGTACACCTTACTCACCCAACTGTCCGTGACTATTCCGTTGGTCAGTGGGTGGTTGGCGGGTGCTCTGGTGTGGTTTGCTTCTTTTTTCCTATCAAACGTCTATCCTCTTTATCTTCTCTCCTTCTTTTTTGTCTTTGTTAGTCTCTTTTAACATCTCTAATCATGGAGGCACTTATATGACCTTACTGTCTTGTAAGTACCGTAAAACTCTTACTACCCCCTGGGGCAGTGCCACTGACTGAAGTGTCTTTAGGCCATTCCCAAAGGGGGACATTTCTCGTTCTAATACACAGTAGAATTGTAAATGGGCTGATCCAACACTGTCATGCTCATGAGTGTGCCTGAACTACAACAGGGAACTGCTGCGTTTACTTTCCTAATTCTTACTATCGTCATTTTCCTCTACTTCTTTTTGTATGTTGGTCACACTCTTGTGACCCGCTATTTCTGGGGTGCCTTGATAGTCGAACCAGACTTTGTGCTGTTGAAGCTAGAGAGGTGAGCAGAGTAAGCCTGATTCCCTGTAAGGACTTCTCTGTTGACATCCACCACTTGGCACTCATATGACCTTATGCAGTTGCGAGCGCCATAAAACCTCTACTTTAACCAAAAAAAGAATAATATTTACTAAAAACTAAAACTGTTCCTCTGGTCAGTTCGGCGGCCTTGAAGCAATCATCACAGGGATCCTGGACGAGTGGACCTTCCTGAGACGTCACCGTGAGCTGTTTGTCGCTGGTCTCATGCTGTGGTGCTTCCTTGGCGGGCTGGTCACTACTACTTACGTGAGTGCTGCTTATATTTGCACCCCCCCCCCCCCCCCTCCTCCACTCCACAATAAATGAATAAATAAAACAGTAATAAATAGATAAATTCTTAAATACATAAATAAATAACTCTGGTGCTTCCTTGGCGGGCTCGTCACTACTACTTACGTGAGTGCTGCTTACATTTCCACCCCTCTCTCCCCAATAAATAAAGAAAGAAAACAGCAATAAATATATAAATACATAAATACATAAATAAATACATAAATAAATGTATAAATATAATAAATAAATAGCCGCCAAAAAAAATGGAAAAAAATATAATAAAGAAAAATGAAATAAAATGTAATGTAATGTAATAAAATGAAATAAATGAATAAATAAATGACAAAGATAAAAAAAATTAAACAAAGAAAAATGTTTAAGCAACAACAACAACAACAACAACAACAACAACAACAACAACAACAACAACAAAACAACAGCCATAAAAACAACAACATTAACAACTTAAACAACAACAACAAAAACAACACACAAAACAGAATCATGAACAAGGTAAAGAACAGCAACCCACCTCCACAAGAAGGAAAGAAAATTACGTAACAAATCATTAGTAACGTTTTTTTCTGTAGTTGACTAGATCTAGAAATCTATGTTTTCGGTGAGGAAAGTTTCTCATTTTTTGGCCCCAAAATCTGGAACACCTTGCTTCAGGATCTTAGAGAAACAGCAAATTTAGATAGGTTTAAGCGATTGCTCAAGACTCATTTGTTCAATTGTTAGTTATAGTGTATAGTGTTAATAAGTTCTGATTAATATACATGTTTGTACATCTATATATATATATATATTGTTATTATTATTATTATTATTATTATTATTATTATTATTATTATTATTATTATTATTATTATTATTATTATCATTATTATTGTTAGATCTATTATTATTAGGTCATATTATCATTATATTATTATTATTAATACATGTATTATCATTATTATCATTATTATTATTATTATTTTCATTATTATTATTATTATTATTATTATTATTATTATTATTATTGTTATTATTATTTTATTATTATTATCATTATCATTTGATGATGATGATGATGATGATGATGATGATGATGATGATGATGATGATGATGATGATGATGATGATGATGATGATGATGATGATGATTCTTATGTTTACCCTCAGGGCGGTATCTATGTGATACAACTAATGGACACATACGGGGCGCCCATCTCTATCCTGTTGATTGTCTTCTTGGAAGCTGTAGCTGTTTCCTGGATCTACGGTAAGCTGTAGCGTGTGTGTGTGTGTGTGTGTGTGTGTGTGTGTGTGTGTGTGTGTGTGTGTGTGTGTGTGTGTGTGTGTGTGTGTGTGTGTGTGTGTGTGAATGTATTTATTTGTGAGTGTGTGTGTGTCAAGTGTGTGTCTATCTTGCTGATTGTCTTCTTGGAGTCCATCGTTGTCCATGGATCTACAGTAATCTACTCTATAATCTATGGGTGCTTTGTACAGCTACCTTTTTATGTCCCCATTCAGTATGGCGATCTGAACACGGTCGACTTTATGCTTAGTCAACAACCTGTCCCCGTGGTTTTAAGCACCCCGCATAATTTAGCAAAATTTGATCATTTTTTGCATAATTTCAGATTATTTTCCTTTATCATTCTTTGTTAAAATTAACAGAATCGCATAATTTCACATTTTTGGGCTCAGTTTGCATAATTTCATATTATTTTTTGGGGGCATAAAACAGCGGGGATAGATCTTTGCATCCTTAAAATAAAACATATTTTTTCTTTCAGTCTTGAACTCAAAGATTGGATAGATCTAGTTCCTTTTTCAGACCTAAACTGCTTTTCAGAACTTTGCATTCTACCTGACTTAAACAGCTGGAATTTGAAGTCGATTTGGGTGAATTTTGATTCTCCTCCTTAATCAAAGACTGTGTTTTTAATCTTTTTAAAGCTATCTTAACACACAAACCAATACTTTCGCAATGTGTTTTGGCATTTTCTTGTAAAGATTGAAGGTCAAAATGGATCGTGATAAAGTTATATATATATATATAGTAAATCTTTCACTGTTTCCCATTGACGGGCAGCCATTCCCTTCTGGGAAGAAGCAATTTGAATTATAGTGCGGTCATAAATTCATGGTGCAACTATCTTCACATACCTCTTAAACGTGTGAATCACCGTCACTCATACTTTTCACAGCTGTTTGTATCAATTTGTCTTAACTTAATCATATATTTTTCCACAACAATGGATGCTAGATTTAAAATGTTCTTCTTAAATTTAAATAATTAACTATAAATCTCCGTCACACGGAAAATGGGAATGTTCACAGTACTTCCTGCTTCTTGCACACATTTTTCATACGTATATGGCCTGCGTCACAACTTGCCAAAGACACTTTTTAGTGGAAAAACTTTTTACAAAAAATGAAGGGTTCTCAAAACACGCGTTCAATAAGCATAAAATCTCGTTTAGAGAACAGTGACAGGCTTTCTTTTAAAAGCAATATTTCCCGAGTTGTAAACTTTTTTTAAACTCTAGAAACCCTCGACTTGGATTTTTTATTGGTATTTATTATGGAATTTTCTAGGATACAGTGTGCAGAAGTTTTAAAAAACATTCATCAGCTAAGACAAATTGATATGTCATTGTGCAAACGTTGGAGAATCTATGTTCAATAGTTAAGGTGATATTTGACAATACGTTACGCCACGATATTTTTGACCGCACTATAAGTAGTGTCTTTCCCAAGGACACAACCTCGCAACTTATAGGCCCAGGATTCGAACCTACAACCTTTCTGATCTATATTATCCATACGACGAGGGTTAACAAAATGTGACGTATGAGCTTGGCGTCTATTTGTCCGTCTACAGGTGTGGATCGCTTCTCGCACGACATTGAAACCATGCTGGGGACAGCTCCTGGACCTTTCTGGAGGGTGTCTTGGACATACATTAGTCCTCTCTTCCTTCTGGTGAGTACGTTTGCGCGGTCACTCACTCACTCACCTATTCACTCACTCACTCACGATCAGATAAGATACATCTTTATTGTCCAGGTCCTGGCACACTGGTTTGGTGTTTCACCACGTGTACACACACACACACACACACACACACACACACACACACACACACACACACACACACACACACACACACACGCACGTAGGCTTACAATCACATGCATAATATAAATGAGCAGCAATAAGACAATAATAATCGTAAGCTAATATTTCGCTCTTTGTGGCGTCTGTGGCCTAGTGGTTAGGCTACCGGAATCGTAATCGTGAGGTTGCGGGTTCGAAGGTTCGATCCGTGGGCCTGACGTTATGTCCTTGGGAAAGGCACTTTGCACGAATTTTCCCCACTTCACCCAGGTGGGAATGGGTACCCGGCCATAGACAGTGAAAGATCTTGTCAGCATGTTAGTGTTTGAGCGCCTATAAAATGGCCGCTTGCACTGTATGCTTCCCAGGAAGTTGAGGTTGTTTCAGAATGTACTCAGGTCTGCGAGGTAATAGTATAGATTGGGACGCGCATAGAGCTTGCTGTTTAGCGCGAGTTTGCGCTATACAAATGCTATCTATTATTATTTATTATTTGTTTATCGTTTTTATATCAAGGAGGAGGAGAAGAAAAAATGAAGGTGGAGGAGGAGGAGGAGGAAGAGGAGGAGAAGGGAGAAAAGAGGAGGGGTGGAGGAGGTCATTTATCTGGTTCGAATTTATTTGTTAGACTTGCAGTGTTCTTTATGGGTGTGGAATTCATACAATGCCCTAACATACCATACCATACCATACTGTACCATACCATACTATACCATGCCATACCATACCATACCAAACCATACCCTACCATACCATACCATACCATACCATACCATACCATGCCATACCATACCAACCCCAGGGGTGGTGCCACTGACTGAATTGTCTTTAGGCCATTCTCAAAGGGGGGGGGGACATTTCTCGTTCAAGCATAGTAGAATTGTAAATGGGCTGATTCATCAATGTCACGCTCATAACTGTGCCTGAACCACAACAGGGAAGTGATGCTTTTTCTTTCCTAATCCTTACTATTGTCATTTTCCTCTACTTCTTTTGTATGTTTGTCACATTTCTGTGACCTGCTATTTCCGGGGTGCCTTGATAGTCGAGGCAGACCTTGTACTGTTGAAGCTAGAGAGGTGAGCAGAGTAAGTCTGATTCCCTGTAAAGACTTCTCTGTTGACGCCCACCCCTTGGCGCTCATATGACCTTATGCAGATGCGAGCGCGGTACAACCCTCTACTATAAAAAAACAACATACCATACTATACCATACCATACCAATAACAACAACACATCTTTCCCGTATCTATCCTCAGCGAATCTACCAGATGATCACCCCAACAGAGGTCCCCTCTCACGTGCCCAAAAGAGACGCCCCCGTGTACCTCTAGGAGCCCGACACCGCTCCGTCGTCACCTGCCACGGGCAGAAGATATTCGGAGACGTTTCCCGCGAGCACCCAGGAACTATTTGGAGACGTCTCCGGCGAGCCCCCAGGAACTATTCGGACACGCCACTCCCGCACACAGGTGCACTGCTTTGGGGGGGGGGGGGGGGGGGGGGGAGTCAAACTGCGTATTAATTTGTTTTGGACCCCCCCAAAAGCCAATTTGAAAAATCGCAAATCAGTTATTTTCCAGACATTTTTTTAAATTTAAAGGCACAAAAATGTAAATTTGGGGTAAAAAAAGGGGGGGTGGCCCCCCCCTTTAACCCCCCAAATTTTTTTCTTTTTTCAAAGGCAAAACATTTTTATTTGGCTATTTTCGTTTAAAGCCGCCCCCAAAAGAAACTGGGCCCGCCCCCCCCTCCCCGGGGGG